ACCCCGGTGATACTTACCCAATAAACCAAATGAAAGTTACAAACAAAATTTTAAATATGAAAGCTAGGGCGTTCCCTCCAAACTTAGGGTGTAGACCTCCATCTTGTGAAAAGTAAAATAGAGGTCAAAGCAAATAAAACAAGAGTAGCAAGCTTAAATATTGGCACACTTAAGGATAAGACTAGAGAATTGGCATTCATGTTGAACAAGAGAAAAGTTGATATAGCGTGCATATAAGAGACGAAATGAAGAGGTGAATGATTGTAGATGGGTATAAATTGTACTTTAATGGAATTCTTAGTAATTGAAACGGTATCCATCCTCAGTCAAGATCTAACCTACTCAGTGGTAGAAGTTAACTGATCTCTGATAGACGAATGGAAATAAAACTCTGCATTGGTCAATCACTACTACACATCCTTTCAGTATATTCTCCTCAAACGAATTGCAAAGAAGAGGAGAAGATGACTTTAGAGCTATCCATGATAAAGCTGTAATGGAAATCCATAAGGATGACCTAATAATAATAGGTGTAGAAATGATTAAATAGGAAAAGCTAGAGACAGATACAAAAGGCATCATGATGGTTTTGGATATGGAGAAAGAAATGATGAAGGAGAGCCTGTACTAAAATTTGCGCAAGCCTTCGACTTTGCCTTGACCAACATCTACTATAAGAAAAAAGACAATCATTTATAACATATGAAAGTGGTACAAAAAAAACCCAGATAGAATACATGCTGATCTTTCGAATAAGATTAAAAGATGTAATAGGCTGCAAAGTCATCTCAGGAGAAGATACTGCCGCGCAACACAAGTTACTAGTCATGGATTTACACCTCACAAATAAATCAACTCAAAACAAGATGAAACTAAAACCATACCTCAAATGGGGTAGATTAAAATCAATGACAGATGCCTTTGCAACAGCGTCTACATGAGCGGGAGGGGTAGGAACAGTTTGCATCCTATTTTTTTGAGGGGGAAAGAGGTAAGCTGCTTTATTGGGGGTTGGATAAATTTTTTGGGTGGTTATCTATTAAATTTTGAGATGAAATAGGACAAAATTTATTACTGTAAAATTTATACATTTATTATAGTATTATTATAATACAATTCATCGACCAAATCTATATATTGCAAACAATCATACACATTGTTTTCCAAATAAACTATCCTTTTAAATGTAATTTAAAAGGTTTAGATATTTTAGCAAGCTCATAATGCCATAATAACTAATTCATTGTAAATAATGGAGTTTTAATTGAATTTATTATCTAAAGAATAAATTATTTATAATCACAAAATATAGATAGTTGGTAGTAGATATAGATTAATTTAAGTTATCCTTTATAAATTTTTTGAAAAGAGCATTAAAAAATAATGATAAAGAGACACCGCCGCCGAAGTTGGCGATTTTTTAGGGGGGTAGGCAAAGGTTTTTGAAGGGGGTTTGCATCCAGTGAAAATCCTGTCATGTAGACGCTGCTTTGCAATCAATGCTAACATTGAAACAATAGATTCCTCACAAGTTAGTGAAAAAATGTGGATAGACCTTTCATCTAGATAAATAGATACTGCCAAATCTACACTAGGCTTGACAAGAAGAGGTAATAAATCACACAAAGAACTAGGTGGAATGAAGATGTACAAGCCACTAGACAGGAAAAAAAAGCCCTGTATAAAATATGGTACAAATCCAAAAGCCCAGATGACAAGACAAAATACAAAAAGTCCAAGAGAATAGCTACAAAGGCGGTGGATAGGGCCAAAGTAATAGCATACGATGACATGTACAAATAACTATAGGGCAAAATAAAGTATACAGATTAGCCAAACAGCGAAAAAGAATTCTAGGGATATAAACGGATCTCCGAAAGTAATCAAAAATTAAGATGGGAAATTGATAATAAAGGAAAAAGAAATAATGAATAGATGGAAATAATATTTTCAGGAGCTTCTCAACTTTAATTCCCACATCTTTATATGGAGTGCTCTTTAACAAAAGAAACTCACACAAATTTAAGGGAAAAATTTACATTTCCATAGTACAGCCAACTATTCTATATAGTTCGGAAACATGGTTAACCAAAGAATCAGACGAGAGAAGTCTACAAACTATGGAGATGAGAATGCTGAGGATGATTGATGGGGTATCAAGAAAGAATAAGGTGAGTACAAGAATACTGGGAAGTTAAAGGTAGTGCTTATTAAGACTAAGATAATGATCAACAGACAGTTGATATGGGTACACAATGAGAAGGCCTATAAACTATATAAGATTAAGGGTTTGGAAGTGATGGGCAAACGTCAAAGAGGAAGGCTAAAACTTCAATGGGACCATAAAGTTAGAGCCAATATGAAGAAATATAAATTAGATAAAAGAGATAGCATGAATAAAAGTTGAAAGAGATATTGAAGGAGCTTACCACCAGAAAAGGTGAAAGCTAAAAAGAAAAAAAATGTACATATATACGTCTATAATAAAAGTATTAAATAATTTTTACAGCAATATATTTTGTCCTAATTTATCTAAAATCTTTATTCTTAACCAATAAATCTAACCTACACACCCTCTTCCCACTCCTTATCCCTCTTAAAAAATTGTAATCCCACTCTCCCGCTTACATAGCTTTTGAGATAGAGGTCTGGTCTGCATATGGCAAAATTCTCAGGCCCTGCTCAGTTCAAAAGAACGGGATATTTGCCCGGACTGACCTAGAAGAATTATGCCTGGCTTGGCCCGATTTTAATTTTCACTAAGGTTGCTATTTATTAATATTATAATGGAGCCATTTTAATATTTTTTGCAAATTAAGCTAGAACTTCAACAGGATTTGCTAAATATTAGTTATCTCGCTCTTCAAATATTATTATTGTTCATTTAAAAAAAAATTTCTCGCTAATTTAAGATCTTGGATCTATTAAGGGGAGAGGGTAATTTTAAGATCTTATATTTGCTTCTTTTTTTTGGCTAATTTTAGATTTAGCCCATTTCTCTTATTAAAATGGTACATTTATTTAATAATAATATCCTTAACATCACAGCTTCATAATATTCCCAATTGATACGCTGATTTTTAAAAAAATATCTGTATCATCTACAAAACCCTAATGGTGATAGTTTGTTATACCAGATGGTTCAGATATTGATAATTCTAATGGAAAGGATTATAAAATTAGGTATAGCAGCTGATATATATTTGGTCGATTGGTCATATTTATTATATGACAAGTTTTTCTAAATAATGCTTACCAGGTATCCACACTTGAAAACTCGAAAATCTTTCTTTTAAATCATTTCGCGGGGGCTATATTTAAAAATTTTTAAATCTGATTATACCGGAAAGGTAACTCCAGCTAACTTAGAGAATCTACTCCTAAAATTTTCTAACATTTTTTTGCTATATACTTTTATGAATATTTTTAAACATTTATATGAAAAATCTATTTATATATAAAAATTAAAAAATAAATTATTTTAAAAGAATCCACATTGAATTCATTTCCGGTAAAATAAGATTCTTCAAATTTAAAAAAAAATTATCGGTAAAATCATTTTAAATTGAGAGATTCGTATCCCTCATGTGAGAATTTCGGATTTTATCATATATCGTCAGCTTCTATCATAGTGTTCTATATCCACTTTTTTGCAAAATGCTTTTTTTTGATAAATGAATCCTCCAGGCTATATTCTTATGTATCTATGCTCGAACAATTAAAAAAAATGGATATAGAACATTATATCACTCCACCAAAGATAGGCAGCTTGAACAAATTCTAAACCATCGATTAATACGTTGTATAATGAGAATATAAATATTTACAAATCCTGATTTTTCAGTCGCAATGCTAACGCTTATTATTTAGGCCTACTCAATCTAATAATTTAGCCTTGACGAACACGCTTTCGCCCCAACCCTAGCAGAGCGGCTTAATTTATTCGACTATATTACAAAAAAAAACCAAATATTTATTATAAAAATTTGTATCCCAATCGTTATTGTATATATTGTATAATAGATATAAAATAAAATTTTGTGATTATAATATAAATTAAAATTTATATGTACTTGGATAATTATTTTTAAAAAATATATATAAATAATTAATTAATTAATATAGAACATGATTGGTTTTACAGGTTTTGGTTTTAAATATTTTATTATATATTTTTGTAAATGGTTTAAAAAATTTATCTAAGAAATTTACGAATACCATAAATAATGACTATTATATTATATAATAGTTTTTAAAAAAAAATGAATTAAAATTATGATGGCTTTTTGATGGTCAAATAACCGTTGTGAAATTGAATTATATCATCTTGCATAATCGAAGAGTATTATTATGGTCATGCAATGGTGAATTAAAGAAATGCTATATAAAAGACTTAAAAGTCAAGCCTAAATGTATAAGAAAAGGATATTTTTTTTTTAATAAATGGGTAATATTTAAACATTTCACTGGTTTTGCCATTCATCGAAAATAAAAATTATATATGTATAAATAATAATAATAATAAGTGATATATTAAAAATATTTTTAAAATTATATTATAATTTCAAATATCTAGTATAATTTTTTTTTGTTTTAAAAACAAAAAATCACTTTTTGAGGTTTTTGGTATAAAAAAATATATAATATATAGTGAGGTAGGTCTAAAATAATTCATATGAAACACCTTGAATTTATTACCTGATTTGAAAGTTGCATTGTTTTGTCATCTTATATAAAATATCGCTAAAGTTCATTTAGTATAATTTAAAATATTACGCTGATACGTCAATTATGTCCTATTTATGACAATAGAATTCACTCAGTTAATAAAAAAAAATATATATTATAAATTGTAAATTTTGTTGAATTAATTTTTATAATTTATAATTATAAATATTTTTTTTGGTTACAATAAAATGATATTTGAAAAAAATAATATATACAAAATATCAATTTAGTTCCAATTAAATATAATCGGAACCCAATATGCCTAGGATCGGTCTAATAATTCTAAACGACTCTTATAATGGATATGTCATTTGTATTTTTAGGGATCAAACGAGAACAATTCCTTGTGCAGTGCCGGAAATTGTATCTTGGGATGTTTTTTTCGAAATTCGTTGACAATTTGTACGTGGAATTTCGATAAGGATCGAAGTTTCTCTAGAATCTTGAGTAATTTAGCGAAGACATTTTCGCAATCCGACGGGTGATTGAATTTAAGTTCGTGGGTCAAGGTCTTAAAGAACTTGTCACTCATGGTTTGTATTTTCATTTTTTCTTTCAAATCATCTGACCCTTTTTTTAAAAAAAAATAATTAAATAAATAGGTTTCCTATTTGAATTTATATAACCTAGATCGTTGGGGTTATTGGATTCTATTATTTAATTATATTTTTTGTAAAATTTAGATGGGGGAGAAAATAGAGGGCTTTAAAAAATATTTCATCATCCTTGAAATTAAATCTCGGGTAAGAAAGATCGGAAAAAATAAAAACAATTTTCAGAAATCAAATGCGAGTTTCAAAAAAATAAAATTTAGTAATAAAAAATAAAATAATTTCTTAGGAATAGTCTAATTTTTAATAAACTTAGGAGATTAGCTACTTATGGGTTATATTATATTTTTTTTATAAACTTTGATTAGTATGTGTGACTACTCTTTTTTTTGTTGTTCACCACTAGGAAAATAAAAATTGGAAAAAGAGATTATTGTATTTACCTAATTATTTTATCCGTATATATCTTTTGAAATTTTTAAAATGATGGAAAATGTATGTCGTAGGAGTTTTTTTTTTAAAAATCAAGACTTTACTTCTTATACCCGGGGGTTTTTTTAAAGCAAATTTTTTAAAAAGAGAAGTGCTTAACACTGTATTTATAGTGAGGGCGATTTGCTCACGCGATTGCGAAATAAATCGTCACGTGCTTAATTTACAAGAGCCAGCCAACCATAGGCATAGTTTATAAATAAGGAGCGAAAGGATGAAATCGCGACAACTGTTTACGTATATTTCAATAAATGTAATATCTGTGAGAAATTAGCTGTATTTCCCTTGTGATTAATTTCGCATCGCTTGGGAAAATGCGCCAACTGTAAATTAAGCTTTATTGGGCCATATAGTAAACGCCTTTTGTCAAGCGTTGCGTTATATAGCGTTATTACAAAATAAAGCCAATAAATATGGAGTATTATGATGATAACGATATGATAACTTATGAAAAAACATAATTTGAAATGAGTTGATAAAAAAAATATGTAGACGATTATAAAAATAATAGCGAACTTGATAAAAAAAAGGTATGATTTTTCATAAATATTATATAAAATAATTATCTCTAATTTAGCTTTATCTTAAATTAGTTTTAAAACTGAATTAGTAGAGATAACACTGAGTTAAAAAACGCAAAACTTGAAGATAACGCGTTTACTATAAATGCAGCTCAAATCCTCTATAACTGCATTTTTTGAAAATTAAAGGCCTAATTTTATCGGAATTTCCAGTATGCATAGAGTTAACCTCACCCCTGTGAATCTCAGTCAAACTGAGTTATAAATTTTATCTTTTCGAATTTATACTGAAAAATTTTAATATAAAATACGGCAAAGTTATCTGATAATTTACAAGGGTAGGTATTTTGTTCTTGTTGAAATATGCCGAACAATTAGATCTTTTAAAAATTAAAACTATAAAAGATTTAAGTTTTAAAGATTTTGCTAAACCACTTATACGGACATATAATAGTAAGAAATAAATTGGGGTCGTTGTTTGCATTGTTTTAAAATGGACATTGGATATAATATTATTATTATCCCTTATAAGACTTCAAAATTCATTTTGATATTGACTTAAAAGAATATTAACAATGAGCTTCTCCTTTTTTTAAAAAAATTACGAAAAGTGAGACGGGAAGGGCTCGCGATTAAAATGTATAACCTAAACTCAAATGATAGAAAAATGTAGATAGAACCTTATACTAATAATAAAATAAATTAATATAATATATAACCTTCGGATCCTAAAACGATACAGGCAGTAAAAATGGCGAATTCGGAGAAGGTTAACCGTAAACTCATAATCGAGCTGACAATTTCGCTAACATTTTCAATGAAAAGACTCTCCTTATCGGCGACGCCATCTAACTTGAAGGATTTCATGGGAATCCAATAATAATTCGAGGTTAAAATAGAGGTGGAAGTTAAGTGGGATGTGTTTTTTAAATTGGTCAAGGGATAAAATACTTTCTGACTAAATGGTGTAAAACATTTATCCATGTACTTATCCATCACGTCTTTATCACTTAAATGAGCATTTTGTAAAATCTTCAATCTGTCAAAAAGAAAAATATATTTAATATTGTTTCTTTTTTTTTCAAATAAGTATATTACAAATTACCTCTCAAGATTAGTTTCATCGTAATCGATAATTTCTTGTTTGAAGTGCAAAGCCATCCACACCAAAACCATCTCAAAGTTACTGGATTTCAACAGAACTATTTGATCATCCTGAGGCAAAATCATAAATCCAGGCACCATTTTTACAAATTCAATGATATTTTGTATCAGCATGGTCAGTTTGTCGGCGCAGTCTAGCCAACGGTCTTCGTAGGTTAGATTTTCCCAGATTTTAACTAAAGTTGACTCGTTCTCGATTTCCTTGTCTACAAAGGTGTCATCGTTATTGTGATGGCCGTTTTTGAAATTTCTATCTTTGGCAGTTATTATTATTCTCGAATATGCCGCACTCAGGGTTTCGATTAAAAATTCATCTGTTTAGTTAAATTTCAATTGAAATAATATCGAAATGAGAAATCACATATATATATATGGATTTGAAAAGTTTAAAGGATTATCTTCTTTCTTTCCTTCTTTCTTCTTTTTGAAAGTTTAAAGGATTATTTTCTTTCTTTCCTTTTTTTCTTCCTTCCCTTCCCTTCCCTTCCCTTCCCTTCCCTTCCCTTCCCTTCCCTTCCCTTCCCTTCCTTCCTTCCCTTCCCTTCCCTTCCCTTCCCTTCCCTTCCCTTCCTTCCCTTCCCTTCCCTTCCCTTCCCTTCCTTCCCTTCCCTTCCTTCCCTTCCTCCCTTCCTTCCTCCCTTCCTCCTTCCTTCCTTCCTTCCTTCCTTCCTTCCTTCCTTCCTTCCTTCCTTCCTTCCTTCCTTCCTTCCTTCCTTCCTTCCTTCCTTCCTTCCTTCCTTCCTTCCTTCCTTCCTTCCTTCCTTCCTTCCTTCCTTCCTTCCTTCCTTCCTTCCTTCCTTCCTTCCTTCCTTCCTTCCTTCCTTCCTTCCTTCCTTCCTTCCTTCCTTCCTTCCTTCCTTCCTTCCTTCCTTCCTTCCTTCCTTCCTTCCTTCCTTTCTCAAATGTTTAGTTTATATATATAAGCCTACTACAAAAAATGACATTTATTTAATTTGTAGTTAATAACCCCTAGGACTATCTCAAGATGCATCATATCGGTTTTTGGAGATCCAGCCCAAAATTACCCGAAAAAATTATTTGTAATACAATAATAAATGATGTTAGATACTTTAATAAAGAAAAAGACAATATTGTTGGGAGCATAGTAAAAAATTGAAGACTGTTCATTTTAAATTAACTTATATTCATTCACTTTTCCTTTTTTTAAGAGAAACGGGATGCTTACTAAAAACGCTTTATCTTTGAATAGGACGCGTCTCATAGACGCCATATCTGGAAACGTAGAATATCATAATAAATAACATTCATTTTCATAATAACTTATTATACCTATTGGCGGGTACAATGAGTTTTGATGAGGGTTAGGACCGAATACCGGGTAGTAGCAATTTTTGTTGTAGTTGGCATCGTATGAATTCGGACTTATTGACAAAAAGCCGGATGTGCTAGGCGAATTTCGGTTACCTTTGATTTGATATCTTATTTTATCTTCCACGTATTCGTAAGGATGAAAAAATTCGTAATTTAATCTCCCCATACTATGAGTCGTGCTATCGGGATTGGCCACTTCGAAGAAACTTTCATTAACAGCTCTATCGAAATGTTTCTTCCCGTTAAGAGTGTGGGTTAGGGGCATTAAGCACCCGCCAATCATATTTTTATCTTTATCACAGGTAGGGAAGTCGTTAACTGAATTGTTTTCCAATAGGCGATGCTTGTTGATCATTGGAGTATGTTTGCCATTGATATCCGGGATACACTGGTCCGAATTTTCTGCGCAATAATCTTCATAATTTTTATTGTTAATTAAATGCGTGCATGGTAAAGGATTCTTCCCATTTATCAGTTGTTTAACAGCAACACGTTTATTGTCTTGAAGGTCAATATTCTCTAATCTTATACCTTGGTCATCGGTGTAAGCCAACGATTCATTTTTGTTCCCATTATAGCTTTTACTATTTTGTTGCTGACTTAACGAAGCGGGCGTAACCATGCTCTCGTAATCTGATGCTTCTTTATTAGTCACATTGTGCGTACTTACAGAATATAGTTCATTTTTAACGATGGCTGATTGTGCAGTTCCGCTCAAGCCATTACTTTCCCCATTTTTTAGGCTAAAAAATCCATTTATAATAAGGGTTTTAGATTTGTTATTCATTTTAGTCGATTTATTTGATCCTACTCTATAGCTCTCGTGATTTTCGAGGGGGGAAGAGTTGGGACCAATTTTTGCTTTAATACTGTAATTTGAAACGGAATTTTCCTCTATCGAAGATATGTACGTCGGAGACTTTTCATCCATGGATTCATTAGAAGACGAGTAGGAAGAACGTTTTTGTATTGCGCTACTGTGATTATTATCATTGTGAGGCATCTCGCTGGACGTGCTATATTTGTAATCCCTTGATTGGACTGGGTTCGATTTGTAGGGGTATTCACCGTTATTGACGTGAGCTTTATTATGGTTTAAAAAAGCGTTATTGGTGTCCACAAATTGGGTTTGAGGATGATACATCATGGTGGACTGGTGATTGGTTTGATTGTACGAAGAATAACCAGGGGAATTAATGGGATCGCTATTAACCTTGGTATGATGATGGTGCATGTATACATTCATGGCGGAAAGGTGATGGGGAAACCTACATATAGGTGTAAATGTTAAACAAATAAAATGTGCTATGAAATATCTACCCATAGTAGTTTGGAAACGCTGACCCGTTCGTTAGCAAAGGATTGTTATTCTTATAGTTATGAGGAATGGCGTCGGGGTATGCTCTCGAAAACGCAGACGTGTTCGGAGAATTGTTGTTGGTATGACCGGATAAGGCGTGATTTTGGCTTAGATGGGAGCCATTGGTGTTCACGGAATGGCCAGTGACCATTGCTGCGGAAGCCATTTGATGTTGGATTTGTTTTATCTTTTCCTGATGATACCTAGCCTCGTCCTCAACCACCTCTCTTTGCTTTTTTGACATTCTTCCGAATTTCACAGCTTATAAAATGAATATATAATATTAACTTTTGAAATATCTTTCATATTCAAGTAAAATATATAAATTGTCCATTTATACATAGACGCAAAGATTTGTGAAAATCGTAAATATTGTTTCACCATTTGATAAAAAAAATCTTGTGTCGAATATTTTTATACAACACCTTTTTTAAAATAGAGATCTCTAGGAATAATCTAGGGGCATATCAAACCATCATATGGGACATGTCAAATAGACAGCGTAAAATGGCAAGTCCATAGCCGTTAAAAAAGTGTATCGAAACTTAATTGTAAATATAAAAATATTGTACCGTCGCGAGACATGCCCAAGGCGATGCATTTTTGCAACCTACAATATTGACACCTATTTCTATTGACTCGGTCAATCATGCAGCACTTTTGTCTGGGACATTGATAGCTCACAACACTAGACTGACTTCTTCTAAAAAATCCCTTGTATTTTTTAAAAAAATGATCATTATTACAAATGTTGGAATATTTTATCATTTTGGAAATTAATAGGTGTAATTAAAGCCCTTAGAGTCTGAATACTATCGAGCCTATTGATTTAAATTTGGATGAAGTCGAACTTTCTCGATGAAATTTTTTTTTTTAAAATAATTTTTATTTTCCATAAAAGATTTTAAATTTTATTCTTCTATAGAAAAGAATTTTTTTCGAGTGCAATTTTCCCGCCTTTCTTGAAAAAATATATTAATTAATCATAAAACTTTTAAAAAAATATTTCGAAAGAATAATTGTTTGGCCGGACCGGTTTAACTCAGCCCAATCAAAGGGGCTCATGCGATAGCCAATCAATCCAATTATATTATGCTCGTTCCATAATAGGAAAAAAAATTTTAAAGGACAAGTTGGCCACGTTGTGACCTTCCACAACATGGCTCTTTACTCTTTTATAATATTATCATTTTAAAGTGATATATTATAAATAATAATAAAATAAAGGATATATATATTTTTCATAGCATATATACTTTGCATCCCTCGCACGTTATAACGCCATAATGAACACCGGATGATTTGTCGCCGCATACCTTACACGGGATTATTTCGATCTGAGCTATAAATTGTTTATTATTTTTAAATATATATATATATATACAGTAAAACTGGTCTATGGGCAGCTCCTTAATTTGACCAAAATTTTGAGTCTTATCTTGTTCAAATTCTTATTAACCAATAAAGACCTGATAAATTGGGCAACTGTTGGACAAAGATCTTGGTTCCAACCGTGCCAAATTATACAAGTGTTACAGTTAATAATATAGGGAATTTCTTCTAGCCTTTTAGGTTTTTGATTAGGATTGCCGAAACCTATAAATATAATGAATGTGTCTTTGATTTATAACGTTTTCCGGTCTTAACGTCAAACAAACGAGTTAATAGGGGAGATTTTATGTCCGTTCCATTTTATTAGTTTTTCACTAAGCTAGACGGAATATTAGAGTTTAATACTTAAAAAAAAATACGTTCCGTTATATAACCAAGGTAATATATCCCTTTCCTCCCTATACTATATAATAAAAATAATGTACAAAATTTTTAAAAAGTTCCGCGAGTTCATTAAGTTTTAAAATAAATAAAAAATTATAATTAGTCCATATGTTAAAATGAATCATAGCCTTGGGAGTGAAGGATGGGTGGGGGGGGGGTGAAACTCCCAACCTGCTTCCACCCCTCCGACCAAAAATAGTGATCTAAATCTACAATTTAAGTGTATAATATATTTCAAATAAAATGTCTCCTGCTGAGAAATTCTTTTCATAACTACAGATTTTTTAAAGGTTATTATAAGATTTCGATATATTTCAATATTTGGATAGAAATATTTTAGAAATTTATATATATATAATATATTTATTTTCTATTTTATTATTCCATTTTCTTTATCATTTAAATATATCTAAAATTAATTGTGAAGAATAAAATACTATTATAACACATTTCCCCAAGGTCGTTATATCTTTTCGGTTTAAACCTCGTAGTGAGTGGAGATTGCTTTAGGATAAAAACTCCAAATCGAAACGATTTACAACACTACTTATCATATGTTAAATATGGCATTAATTATTATACTCATAAGTTCGAGTTCAAATATTTAGAGGGTTGGGTAGGGATCGATAGCTCAAAATAATTTAACATTTGTGATAATACTGCATCTAAAATTTTTTTATGAAGAATTAGAAAGTTATCATCATATTTTCAAGAGTTCAAATTAGACAGTTATTCATGAGGGGGGGGGGATTTTTTGAACTTTGTGTAATTTGAATAAAATCGATATTTTTGATTTTATGAGTTAATAATATAAATAAATTTTTTTATTAAAAATGCTACATCAAAGGCCTTATTTTTTTTTTCTTCAAAAGGTATAAATATTACCAATATTTCATAATTATGCATAAATATTTAATCACTCAAATATCAAAATCCCTTTCTAGTATTTTAATTTTGGAAATTAAGGGGAAAAAATGAGTATTAGCCTTAATTAATAAATATAATAATTATGCGGTATATAATATCACATGCAGATATAAAATAGTATATATGAAGTCTATCAAGGCCCTCTAATAAGAGGACCTCAACATACATAGTCGATATCAATTTAATTAAATTAATTTGTATTTTAGTCATTGGTAGGGTCTCTAGTTTTATTTCTGCTGGAGATGGGGGTATAGATATCTTTGGAGTGTAATGATCACAAAAAAGACCAGGCGGCACAACCTAAGTAATCTGCCGGGCATTAATTAAATTCCCACCGGTCGGGTGGTACCGGGTTACCACTTACAGCTGATATATACGTCATTTTTGTTTTATGAAACGTTATATTTTAGTTTAAACTCTAGTTCTACAATATAACCTTGAAGCTGAGCTTGTGTTTAAAAAAAAATTGAATATTGGACCGTGCTTTGGTTTCAAAAAATCCTTTAAAAAATGGTCCCCATAACCTTGTATCCTCTGAAATTTATGTCGTCGCCTGAAATTTACAGGGTAGAAACTATGTTTGAATACGCGATTCCGTCAAAAGTAAGTCTTTCAAACTATTAGAAAACGCACTATAAAAATGATTTATTTAAATATTTAAAAATTATCTAGAAGCCCGAGTCAATGAAATATAACCCTGAGTTTTCTAAACTGCTTATGACACATTACACTAGTGGATGACATCAAGAAAGGGATAGAAGAAAAGAAGTCATTTTTATCAATTGATCAATTCCTCATTCTTTGAGACATAGATAATTCCTTATCTGGCAACTGTGTGTGCATAGATGTATCAATTTAAATTTTTCTTCGTATTTTTGAAGTATAAATGGAAATAAATAAGCGCCAGATGACCTGAATCAGAATTATATTTTGGAAATATTAAAAAAAATTTTTAAATTAAATAAAAAGCCTGATGGGAAGGTAAATGCTTGAGAATATTTTCTTTTGAATAAAGATTAATAAGATTATGTTCTAAAAATGCTTGGACGCCTGTAGATCCTCCCATTGGTGACCCGAGAACGAACACGAGTAAAAAAGGATCAATAAATAAGGAAGAAAATTTTCTAGTTTAGTATTTTTTCACATTTTATAATTTAAGGATCAATTTAGTGGTTGAAAATTTAAAATTATGATACCTACAGTATATCTGCTAGATAGAAACAACAATAACCTTTCTATCTAAAATGTAGAAATGTAAATTGTACATCAATTATCTATTTATCTGTAAATTTTTAATAATTTATTTTTGTTTGTCAATTTTGTAATCTTAATCAGTCAATTAGAATAATTACGATAAAAAAATATAAAAAAATTTAATATCCATAATTAGTTTAGTTTGATTTACATTTTATTCAATTTTATTTGTTTCAGTATTAAAAGAATAAAAAACTTATCAGTTAATCCCTTTCATTTGAATTGATTCGATAAAGGGTGAATGATGAATATTTCAATGGTTCGATCTTTTCTCATTCAGTGGAATCGAGAGTATTCATTTTGTGCTTTTATATAAACCCAATAGTTTAGTTCCTAAGTGATTCTTGGCCTCTATTCCCTAAGCTGCCGTTTGGCTAACCGAAGATGCCAAATAGACCTTACTTTTGTAATGGTGACTCTCTTTTTTTTACCTCTCGGAAAAGCAACATATTCAAAAGGCAAACTTCTTAATCAAGGGGACCCACCATCTTATTTTTATAAAAAAGATGATGATTTAGTTTTTATATTATTAAATATCAAATTTTGGGCACAACATTATCGTTGACAAAAATTTTAGTTTTATATGGCATAAAATTTTTATATATTTTTTTAAAATATTATCTTATATTTACCTATCCTGATTTTAAAAACTTACTATATATGCTAGTAAGTACTAACCCTAGTCCATTGATAATTTAGCAAATAAAAAAAAATTTACCTCGCCAACCTCTCCCCCAAAAAATAAGTAATTAAAGGATAAATTTAAATGAGTTAAGGAACCTTTTAAAATAGCTATAAATTTTTTCAAAAGAGTTGGTATAAAATGATGTATATATATATTGCAGATTAGCGATTCATTCATCAAATGCACTTAAAAGTGTCCATACATAGGAGTCAAAGGTACCGTCATTTTGTAGTTTGCGTGTCGATTAAATGTATTAATGTGCATTCAAAAAATGAATAAAGACAATTAGTCGAAGTGTAAACCATTAAATGGCGCTACAGTTGACTCCTATGCATAAACACTTTTAATTCATGAATAGCCAATCGAGTAGGATATATACATTAATGGGTATACCATATACACAATAAACACCTCCCCCCCCCCCCATCCTTATCCGTGGAAAATATGATTGAGGAAGATTTTTATGTTTAATACTTTTATATTGATATATATAGACCAAAATTTGCTTTCTTGTCTCTCGACTTCAAATCATCTATTGAAGGCCATTTTTTATATTTCAAAAAATCTGCTTTAACCGGAAATGTATTCCAGCATGTATAAAGTAACTCACACTATGAATTTTTTTCAGAATTGACCTTAATTTATATTGATTTTTCATATAAATTATCAATCACTAATATATTTCATGACGAAAATTGTCTTAAACTCATAGGATAGGTGCTCTGCACATGGTGGTATATATTTAAATAGTCTTCAGCAAATAATTTAAAATTAAGAAATTCTGATTCCACATGGATTTCATATATAAAAGCGGTAAAGGGAGAAGTGGGGAGATTATTATATAATATTAAGCGACTCTAAGATATAATAAAAAGTAATATATCAAAAACGAGGATAGTAAGATATTACCCGATTTTTTGGGGAGAACTTGTATTACCATTTCCGGTTTTTTTTATAGATTTTTATATTTTGAAAATTATCGGAGTGAAAAAATAAATGTCTAATATGTTATTCAATATTTTTTTTTAAAATTTAAATAAATATAATGGATGAAGCTGTATAAATATTATATTTTAATATTTATGATAATGAGTGGCTGCAAATTCATCACTAATCTTTTTCCCAAAAATATTTTTATAATTTATCAATTCGTCCGCCATAAACTTACGTAATAGTAAAATGTGCTTGATTAGCTTTTTTTAAAAAATATTTTTCTATGTTATATATGTCGAATTGGGACATCGAATGTGTATTTTCCAATAAAAGTAATATAAATTAAACTTGGTTCAAATGTTCATGGCATAATTGTTGATACTCTACGCCTACCGGAATACATTTTCGGTTAAATGGGATTTTAAAAATTATAAAATCGTCCTCGGTTAAATGATTTAAAATCTATATATTCCGAATCTCCATTAATTCCATATCTCAATACTACATATATAAGCCTCAGATTTTCTATAGGTTTCTAGTTAATATTATATGCTCATGTTTTAGGACTAGGAACCCGTTGGAGTTCAGCTATTTTAAACTCTACTCAGCAGAAATTCATAATAGGAAACTTGATCGTAACTCACTGAAAGAAGTCTGAAACGCCCTGGGAGCGGTCCCTGTTTGGTCTGTGGTCTCAAAATGTCCAACCAAACAATTTTAATAAACCCTAATTTGGGTACACATCCCTATGTTTTAATGTATAACCG